CGCAGCAGTAGTAGTAGTAGTAGTAGTAGTAGCAGCAGCGGTAGTAGTAGCAGTAGCAGTAGCAGTAGCAGTAGCAGTAGCAGTAGCAGTAGCAGTAGCAGTAGCAGTAGCAGTAGCAGCAGCGGTAGTGGTAGTGGTAGTGGTAGTGGTAGTGGTAGTGGTAGTGGTAGTGGCAGCAGTAGTAGTCGTCGTAGTAGTAGTAGTAGTAGTTGTTGTTCTACGGCTACCATTACTGTTGCTGCTGCTATTGCTGCTGCTACTGCTACTGCTACTGCCACTACTGCTGCTGCTACTACGGTTGCTACTGCTCCTGCTGCCATTGCTCCTGCTCCTGATCCTGATCCCGCTGGTGCTGTGGCTTCTACTTACTGCAACAGCAGCAAATAAAAGAGTCATTATAACAAACGATTCTAGCTGGGGCTGCTTGGTGCTTGTTACTCGCGAGGACTCTGCTACCTCTGCTGCTGTTTCTGCTCTTTTTCTGCTGCTCACGGTTTGACTGCCACGTCGCTTTTTGCATGTTTGTCCGTGGGAACTAGCATTACCCAGGATAACTACTTCCGGGGAACAGCGAGGACATAATTTCCCACCCTGGCACGTGCCTGAGGAAAGACAAGCGAAGAAAAACATGTTCGACAACCGAGGCACTGTTTCAAACAGCTGCTGGCCCCTATTGCAGCTCAGCTGCAGTGTCGAAGACCACCTGCGCTTCTCTTGCCCTGGAGGCGCGAACGGACTCTTTTTCAAGGGGTTGGTGGCTTTCGGCTCTGAGAAGGCCATAGGTTTCTTCGCTTCGGGTGCATGATGATTCCACTTGGTGCAAGTAGCATTGGGAGGAGGAGGACGAGAGGGAAGCGCATGGGAGGACGAGGACACAATCCTAGCGACCATGAGCAAGACAAAGCAACAACTGCTGCACCCTCAGAGCCGAAAATGCCCTGCCAACACCCTAAGAGACAATACTTTCGAAGCAGCCCAGACCGAAGTCCCATCCCCAAGCCGATAGAATATGTGCGGCTTCAAATTCGAATTGCTGGGCTCAGGGGAGAGGTTCGCACAGTTAGAGCGACTGAGACATGCAATTTCACGGGACGAAGGTCGTCCTCTTTGACTGTCCGCCACAAGGATTCTCTCCGGGGCTGTTTGTAACGTGACAAAGCAAGCCTGAGCTTGTCGAGCACGACTTCTCGCAGCTCCTCCTGAGGATGCTGGCGGCTCAAGCCTACCAGGTTTGTTCTTCCGGGAATCCTCACTAAATCCTTGCCATCGTGATGTATTCCTTCCGGTCTAGCATGCTGGAAACTCGTCATCGAGTCTTGAACCCTTAAATAGCCTGGCTCTCCACACTCCGACCCAAACTGCCACAACCCTGAACACCTCCCCAACTCCGAAATCGTCCCACTCCAAGCTCCCAAACCGCACTCTAGACCTCGCACATGTCCAAGTTTTACAGATAAAAACATGTCAAAGCCCAGCGAGCCCAATACCCCTTAATTAAGGAATATACCTTACATCATAGTATGAAGGGCCCTATAATTGAGGGTATATTCCTGATTTAAGGAGTATTGGGCTCTCTGGGCATGTCAAAGCCCGCCAGCCCCAAGCACGGAGCGCTTGGATCCTCCGGGAAGTGCTGCATCCAATCCTCTGCTTCTCCGCAATCGGCCACCTCGCCTAGCCTAGGTTCAGGAAATCAGGGCCTCCCAGGGTAGGTGTGTATATATATATATACATATAGCCGTATATATATATATAGATATATATCTATGTATATATATATATGTATATATATATATATATGTATATGTATAGGAACTGGGGAACCAAGGACCTTCAAGGACTTGTGGTCCTTCAAAGGTTGCTGGCTGCAGGCTCTTGGGGTTGCAAACTTTGAAAGGATCCTGGAGAGCGATGTGATTCATGTGCCCGATACAACCATGCAGTTTAGCTGGAACACCTGTATCAAATCCTGCACACTTCATTAAGCTAGTTTCGTAGCACACATACCGGTTGGCACGCTTTACACCCCACGGAGTCGTAGTGTCGTCGGTGGCTGGCTGATGCTAGTGTGATTCGCTTGTTTCTCACTCCGCCCATCGGTTTTTCGGCATCCCTATGAGCATGACGGATTGTGCAGCAGACAGGTGGCCACGTGTCAAGGTCGTCCAACTGCTCCTTCGTGAACCATGATGTTGCTACTGCAAGCGCCAGCAGTGCCTCAACAAGCTGTCAACTCAAGCAGACACCTAGTGTAGAAGTGCTCCTTTTAATTTAGGAACACAGGGGATGACCCCAAAAAGGCAAGATAGTCAAAAGCTGAACCATGCCAATGCACGAAGAAGTATAGAACCGATGCACACAAACAGTAAGACTTGGCTCTGCAAAGGCTCTTGGAAGTTCCTGTCCAGGACCTCGAAGTCTTCCAACGCTTTCCACTCCTCGACGCAGGCATCGGCAGAAGTCTAATTGACGGAGCCTAAGGCTCGTAGGATGGACCGTCTTCATGTATGTATTGGAACAGTCTCAGCACGGAGCTGTGTAAGGGCCAACGTCCTTTTCATGGGAGCCGGATACGTCCGCATCATGCCCTATGTGCCTACCGAGCTGGAGTTCCTGCGACAATCCTAGCGACGTGTGGTCACTCCCGCTGTAGTTGTGATGATGGTGATGATGACATAGCAAGACCATAAGAACATACTAATTTTACGACTGATAGACCTGGCTGCCGTCCTCATACATGCGCTTCAGGGTCTCGTAGAGTCGGCCGGTCTCCAGCCCTGCCACATCACCGGTGGACTTCCGCCAGTTGGGGGCGATGGAGTCGAACCTGGGAGACACCAACATCTGAAACTCGTGCAGCTTCGGGCCTGAACCCGAGCATAACAAAAAAAGCTGCAAGAACAGCTTGGGTAAACCGACTTGGCAAGTACGCCTTGAGACAATGAGATACAACACATGTCCGTATTCATGTACGTACCTTCATGATGCATGCGACATGTACGCATGCACAAGAGCAGTGTGCACGTGTGAGTACACGCTTCCACATCCATCAGTCTTTATATACATAGACAAATAAATAGGCAAATAAGCAGGTAAGCACGCATGCATGTATGTACATTTGTATAAGCTTTTGTCAGGGCTTGCACGGGCAAGGTCCAGTAAGGCTCCGGCATTCCGATTACATCTTTTTCGCCGTACCCGGCATCATAGTTGAACGACATCTCGTCAGGCGGTGATCCAACTAGTATTCCATGGCTATACAGCTTGAGCGAAGCAGCTGCAGCAGAAGAACACGTCCTGTGAACTGGTTGCCCCAAAGCTGCGACCAAACACTTGCAGAACACAGCTGATGCTAACGCGTGAGTGCAGCATGGCCTGAGCGCACTGCATAGCTTGCAGCCTTCTGCTCACGCCGCCTCGTAAGATACAGGCGTGTTACATCGTCAGAGGATGACAGAGTCTCTGACATGCAAAGTAGCGGTGCAAGCGCTAGCATTGTGCACGGACTGAGCCTCAAGATATCAGTCGGGGCCTTCTCACCCCAACCCTGGAACTTTGCTATCCACTTCATACAGCTTCGGAGTTGTGCAGGGTGTCTGGCCCGTCAACTAATCGGAACGAGCCGTATCACAGCGACATGACAACACTTACGGTCGATGGAGCAACATGTGCCCACATCCGGCTCCGTGCGTTGCAAGTGCGTCAGAGTTTGACACGATGGGGCTGCTAGGAGTAGATTTCGTCCAACAGTGAGTGCAGAGTCTGCCCCATCGATCTCAATTCGAGCTTGCTTCACGTGACATGGCCTGTCGCTACATCAGCCCCAACAAAGATGTCCCACACCCGGTGTGACACTTCTCATGCCCTTTCAGGCATGAATGAATCTCCTCCTTGTGCCTGGGCGTGCACCATCCACGAGCAAAAAAAATTCGAATATGGCAGCCCCAATGCCCTATCCCAACAGTTCTTTTTTTGCGAAGGCGCACCTTAGGCTCTCCTTGGGCATCCTCGGAGGCGGTCATCGTTCTCCATTGCTGAGTCATAATCAGATGCTGCTCTTGTTCGTAGCTTGTCAGCGTTGGCAAGATTCTTGTTGGTGCTGTCGTCATGGCATCGTCAGCACCAGGAGCCCAGAACTTCTCCTCCTACAGCAACAGCAACTACTACTGCTTCTGCTTCTGCTGCTACTGCCACTGCCACTACTACCACCCACTACTACTGCTACTGCTACTGCTACTGCTACTGCTACTGCTACTGCTACTGCTACTGCTGCTACGACGACTACTACGACGACTACTACTACTACTACTGCTCCTGCTACTACTGCTACTACTACTACTACTACTATCATCTACTATCATCTACTACTACTACTACTACTACTATCATCTACTATCATCTACTACTACTACTACCACCACTACCAGTGCGACTAAGTACTACCACTGACGTTGATGTTATGATTGTTGCGGTCGTGGTCGTGGTTGATGTGCGCTTGCACAGAGAATGTTCCATCAAATAGAGCCTGTAAACATCTCGGAGCCCTTGAAACATTGAGTTATCCCTGCATAGTAGTAACATCCTTCATCCGGAACGCTCCAAATCGACTCCCTCCTCTTGAGGAACTTCCATTCCTGATATCAAGGAGCAAGTCAGCTGACGATTTTGCTGATGTGGATGCGACGACGGTGGGTCATGTGCCCGGCCCCGGAGCTCACGTCTAAACACGAACCCTAAGCCCGTGGACAATGTCAGCATTCGCATTGTAGAGGGCATTGGTGAGCACAGCTGGCTTTAAAAGCATCTCACCCTGTACACATGTGGTGAGACGAGCGCGGCAATGCAACAGAGTCAAAAAATTGCACGTGGCTGTCTAAGCAGACCATGTTTGATCTGCAGCTCAGCCACAACGGATCCGCAGTGTAGCTCGCTCCCCACCCTCGAAAGAGCATGGTCGAGCTACAGTGCTCTACACATCTCTGCACAATCGGTGTTTCAAATGGCGGACGGATTGTCAGCACTGACGCGTCCTGTGAGCATGCAGAACAGCAGCAGAGCGTGTGTTCACAGTCACCTCATGTCGTCTACATCAACATCCCATTCAGAAACTTGCCCCTGCAGTCCTCGGCGCGAATAGCAAATCATTGCTTGGACTTTCTGACCGTGCACGCATAGCACGATGGCGGCTCTAGTTGCACGATAGAATCACAACTGGAGTCTGGGCAACTGGACCTGCTCCACTAAACCCCTTTAAGGGTCATAAAAAAGCTCGGACGTCGTCAGCGCAGCACATGAGAAGTCTCCGGACCCACCTGCAACACCCACTTCATCGAGGCGCCTCAAGATCAAGGCCTTCAGACAGGGATCTCATTAGGGTTTAGGGTCTAGGGTTTGACGGTTCAGGGTTGGGTTTTTTCTTGATCTGTGTTTCGCGGATTTCGCGGTTTAAAACCTCTTCTAGTCTGCAAGCATCGGTGCAAGGCTTCAAGGAGAGTTTAGGATCCGCTGACCAGATACCTTACACCGTAAAGCCCACCACTCTCAAAAGCGAGCCGGGGTCTGTGCGCAGTTCTCTTCGATGCCTGTGTCCGTCGTGTCCTTAGGGCGACCACACTTGGAATCAGGGTGCAGGGGTTGGGTTCTAAGTTCGCATGGATGATCGCTATGCAAAGAACGGAACATGTGACACTGAGAATGTCTTCCACCTCACAATTCTGTTGCATTTCAACTTTGTCATGCTTACCGAGGTGTGACTGAGCTGCCAGCCAAGACTGTCCATTGCGGATGCTGCCTTGAGAAACACGATCATTTGTCCCTAAAGCCCTAAACCCTGGTTGTGGAACCCTGAACCGGAGGAGATCCTAAAACCCCAAAGCTTCAAACTCCCCTGCCCTGAAACTTCCAAGGCCTGAGCCGGACCAACACCCTTGAGGCTTCAGCCCTCTCATCCGACCCCTCTTTGGAAGCCGCCCTCAGGATCGAAATCCACCGGAGAGAAGCTCCCACCACTTCCAAACATGCCGAATGCCATTGAATATGTTCTGAACGGCCACCACCTGCAAGGCTTTCTAGGTTCTACTTGTCGATGCGGACCCTGAATGCCCGAGGAAGTGCCTGTACAGCTTTGCGAACAAGGACATCTCCTCCTGCGCGACAGATGCAGCACCGTGGCCGACTGTGTACCCAAAGCCCAGCATGAGAGCGGACTCCGGGTGTTCGGTTGCGAAACCATTGCTACTGATACAACCCCCCCCGGTTCTTCAACCGTCCTGCGCTGTTGACAGTCGGGAGTAATTGGAGTTGGAGCTCATCTTCAGGGACCTCACCCGGCTGCTGCCTCAAGCGTGGCCCGGTCGTCTCGGGGTGGCACTGGAACGTGCGTAATTGCTGTTAGAACGACGTAGTCGAACTATCAGCATAGCAGTAAGCATGCAGCATTACGGGAAGATGACAGTATTCTTTGTGGCAGTGAAACAACAACCCCACTGTAGAGAGCAATGGATAAGGCGAGCGCAATAAACATACGGCACACCATCATAACTCTAAGAATGGTCAGAGCAGATTGGGAGGGGCTGTCGTCGTGGCGGCCGAAGGACACGCATGCAATTGATACCAGTAGCCATCAACAAAGATGCACTTAGCGCTATACGCCACAATGTTGGCAATGACCGCGTGAAGAGAAGTCCAAGAGAAGCACTAAGGAGCCAGGCTGAGAGCTTCCCGGGAGGCGGACGAATTCTCGCCAGCTTTTTGGGGTCGATTTTCAGGGCGAAGATGCGGTCCTGTGCGGGTGGCTTCGTCTGTCGGGCTGAACTTTTGGTGGGCTTGCGGGGTTATGCGGGGTTGGGCTAGTGGAGTGAAAGAGCGACTTGAGCAGTCATCTCATCGGAGAGCGGCAAAGAGTCTCTGAGTATCAATGTTACCATCTGTCCCCAGATGAAGCTAGTCAGATCCGAATCAGCGCCTTGCTGCTTCATGTCCTACATAAACATCGCAAAAAGAACACCCGTGGCACTATGGCCTGTGGGAACGACCACAGCTGCTCGGGAATTGTCTCGTCGGGGATCAGAGGATAGTTCGCAACCTCTTTAGCATGCACAGCTCCACGAGCATAAGCTGGACAACTACCCAAACTCGTCACCTGGCCTTGTAGCCTCTTTGGGCCATGAAGAATGCCAAAGGAGTCTTGCCTTGTGAGCTGAGTGGAAAGGCCAGGGAGGCAAAAGGCAAAACGCGCGGACGCTCGGCCTGGACTTGGAAATGTTTGTGCCCGGTATAGTACCTTTACCCTCCAAAAAGGACCTTGCTAATCAAAGTAGGCTTTGTGGGGCATACTATAGTATCATTTTTTGGGACTCTCAGGGTGTCGGAACAGTAGTACTAACTTGCCAGGACTGTCGCCGCCGCCGCTGCTGGAACAACGGAGCAGATCTACAAGTTTGGGGTTTAGGGCTTCAGGGTTTGGCGAAGTACGCAATCGAAAGTCAGCGGAATCTCTTTCAAAACCATGGCTGGCCATAGCTAGGGTTCTAAGTCAGGTTAAACAGAACACTTTAATGATGAACTTGTAGGTGCTATTACTTGGCCTACGTGCAGGTACACTGTAACTACCACGTCCGCTCATCCTCCAAGTCAGCCACCACTTCTTGATGGTCCAATGATCATGAGGTCGGCCTGCAAAGACGCTGACGAGCTTGGGCTTCGGTCTATGGGGTCTCATCGAAACAGGGGCTGAGTTCTGAAAGCGGAATGCCAGAAGGTGCAAAACGGCTCCAGGCAGCGTGCAACGCAAGAGCAGAGGACGCCTCCGCCCAGCGATGTGGCTGCACGCCGTCATCAAAGAGTCGTGTGTACTCAATGCACTCAATCATCCGCATGTAGCTCCTCGGTGGCACAGCTGTCGGAAGCCCCGCCCCGCAATCTAGATGTGAGGAGCCGGCGCATCTGCAAATTGACGCCTGCCTCAAAAATCGCTGCTGTCACTTGCTTGCTTACATTGTTGCAAAGTAAAGAGAAAGTGTGAGCCCCCACCAGGAATGCCAAGTCGGCTGGCATCGAAGTAGCCTCCCGGACTTGGTGCATCAAAAAAGAGCAGAAAAAACCGAGCTAGCAGCTCTGGCCTTCAAGCTTCTCTAGAAGAGGACTCCACAAGTCGTGGGATTCAACGTTTTGCCTCGAGGAAGCAGGAGTTTCACCATCCTTGAAGCTTGCTTCTTTGCACCTGGAAACCTGTACTTGGCCGGGAGCTCTTGGCAATACTGCTGCAGGTGCGCGTTCGCGACAGGGTCGACCTGCAGGAAAGCGCGCAGTCGTGAAAGCGACAGCCCACAATGCGAAACCATTCCCCTGACGAGCATGAGTCAGGATTTCGGAAGACAGGAAGAGAAATTCCAACAGTTCTGAGCTAAAAGGCCAAGGTGTACACGACGAAGGCGTTGCGTTCCTTTGCCCGGCGAGCAATGTCCTGCGAAGGCGGGGGCTAGTGGCAAGATCAGATTTTTGTATTACCAAATTTGTGCATGCGTGCTGCTAGTGGCACTACATCGGACGTGCTTGAAGGATTGACGGAAATTCACGCCTCCATCATACCCGCCGTCGCAAAGCGGAAAGTCGTCACGTCTGCTGGACCTGCCAGATCTCGTCGTCTAGACTCGGCTTGTGAAGGGCTTCGTGACAAGCATTACACCCAAGTCCAAAGGTTCTGGGATGTCGACAGTCGCGCTCGAAACAATGTCCGAACCTCGGCATGGGTTGACCCTCAAAACGCACAAAGCAATACGCACATACAGTTGCAGGCATCTGCAGGCAAGCAAGATGTCATGGCGTACTGCACAGATCATGATGGTAGCAGTGCGAGTGGTGCTGGCGAAGAATCCTAACTGCGACAGCAGTCGGCAAAAGTAAAACTCTGAAGCACAGGTATTTCTCTCTTACCTTGACGAGGATGGCCAGCATGCCCATGACCGTGTCGGTGACGGTCATGCTTCGAATGCTTTATTTGCTGTGCCTCTACTGAACCCTAAACCCGAAAACCCCAAACCCCGAAACCCAAATACAAAACCTTTAAAGCCCCAAGCCCTAAACCGCAGAAAAGGAGAGGCCATGGCTGGCCGAGAGCACAGAGCACCGTCCTCTCAGCTGACTCACCGGTGCAGTCAGACCTGAGCTGATCTTTCATCAAGGGGGGCCCCAAAGGACCCCAAACAGATCTGTGAGTGTTGAGCAGGATGATATGGTCCTTGATGCATAGTCTGCATAGTCTTGCAGAATTTACTGTAGTTTTTTGGCTTCAGCTTGGAGTGTTTGAGCCGCTGAACCAGTCAACGGCACACTGCAGTGTTTTCCTGTGGGAGGTAAGGCTGGCTTGGAGGACGGCTTCACTAGCTTGAAGGAAGCACAGGGCCACTTAGGTGGAAAAGAGAAGCAATGAGCTGCATGGAGGTGTGCACGACGGCCGCTCCACTCACACAACCTTGTACATGCAATGCGGGCTGGCTTTGCCCTTCTGTGGCCGCCACACCACAAAGATGGGCTTCACCTCAAACCATGTTGCAAAAGCAGATGCTTCTCTCGTGCAGCACATCTTCAGCCAAGCCACTTTGGTCGAGCAAAAGTCGCCATCCCCTTCGTCATCGTCCTCAAGCATAGCTGTGCAGCTTCCACTGCTAGCACTACAGCTGTGAGACTCTAACTCACTCTATGAGACTTGCGAACAGCAGCATATGCCTTGCATCCTTACCATCCATGCTGATTGTGCCGATCATCACACATACAGCATGTGAGCCCCAAGCACTCTGTCAAATGCAAGCAGCTGCTCACGTCTTACTGTTTGTCAGAATGACAGCCCTTAAAGACTCAAAGACCGGTACTCTTGCAAGCATAGCAGATATGTAACCACACAAAAAAACCCTGTCCCGCCGCTAGAGAGAACATTGGCTGTTTCGGATGCGGCCTCCTCATCGAGATCCTCCAAGTCGAATGTCATGGCAGGGGAGGAGCCGAAGCGAACACGGCCGGTGGAACCTTGCCGGGGCTGTCAGAGATCTCTGGGAGCAAAGCCAATGCTTGGGGTCTGTGTGGAGCAAGAGGAGGCACAGATCCGTCTCTGAGCAGAAAGGGTGCCGCGGTTCCATGAGGCTTTCTCCCTTGCAAAGCAAACGAGGCCCGTGCCATCCACGACTTCCGTACACACAAGCTGCTCCTCCTTTCGAACGGTGTCAGACTTGATTCGTCTAGTGAACATCAGAACAGAGGCCGCAACACCCCAACAGAAATGGCAACCGCAGAAGAATGTCCTGAAAGCAGGAATGCAGCTCACGCACTGCCTGCAGGGCGACACACGGCTACTTAAGCCTACTTCCTACATCTGTTAGGCTTCCGCTTGAACTGCATCTAGGCACTGTCTTTACTCACCCTAGCTCCGTCTCCTTCTAGCTTCCTCGCCTCATGCTGTCGTCGGCGTTTACCTCACTCAATGCTATCGTGGCTGCTCCGGCCTCCTCTTCGGAGAATGACTGCATCATCGCCACGGTTAGCTCAACCTCGCAGGCCAGAGGTTTGGCATAACCCATGGCAAGAACTTCCTGCCAGTGGCATGCCCGAACCACAAAACCCTCAACTTGGAACCTGCTTCCAAGATCGTGAAATTCGTCTTTGGTCGTGTTCTCACTCGGTCGCTCACAGCGTTGTTGTGTGCCGCTGCGACGCATCGGGTCCAGAAGTCTTCCAACTCCCGCCCTTCGCGGCCTCAGCCAAGTTCTGTTTACTGAACATGGTGCCATGGAATATCCCAGCACTCTCCCAGTGGTCTGCTTCCAAACCCTCCTAGATGCCCTTTGGCCCGGATGATTGGACTCGCGTTTCTGCTGGTTGTCAGTTTTTCGGTGCTTGTAATTAAGCGCAACAGTGGTCAACACAAACCTTGAGCCCTCGTCCAAGATCAGGGGTGTAATATGGGATCCGGAGTAACAACATCTCCTAAACCATAGCCAAACATTGCCCGAAGCATTCCTTCATGCCCATCCATGCACTGCGGGAAGACGGATCGGACAAGTTAACCTTGTAGACAGCCCGTTGAGAATCTATAAGCCTGTGCAACACTAGGAAGCTTAGCACGTTTTGCATGATCTAAAGGACCCTTCAGGACCAACATCAGCTGACCTGCAGCTTTCGCGAGGTAGTCGCACCTTTCCTGCCGAGGTGCAGCCGGATGGGAATGCGTGAGCTTCAGCTGCCGGAGCTTCAGTTGATTCAGGCTGTGGTGAGATTTTCTGGGTTTTTTGGCGAGGCCGCACAGCACTTGCGATTTCAGCGCGACTCACAACTGCTTAGAGTTGGGGTTCTAGAGTATGTTGGCGGATAAGTGAACCTGAACATGATCCCACACCCGAACCCAGTTTATGATGCTTGCCCAGCAAATCGAAACACCAAAGCTCCATGATGTTGACTCTTGCTGTACTAGAAATACTAGAACCTGCTCCTCGTAATGTGCGTGACGTCATAAGCTCCATGTTAGCGTTGCGCTGCAATGACAGCAAGTTGTGCTCGGCTATATTATATGTTGGATTCAACGCTAATTTCCGAGCATGGGGTCACAGCCACTGAAGGCCTGCAACATGTTTATGCTGCAAACCGCGCCTGCATTCTAAGAAGGGCAACGACTTCTGTGGCCAGGAAGCTGAGCAACTGAGGCTCCAGGAAGGCCTGCTTTGATCTGAAAGCACGACAGATGTCTCACCCATGTCTTGCGGCACCTCATGGTGTTGCGGCAGGAGGCAATTCCGACGGAGACGAAGCTCCTGCTGCGGCAAAAGCCACGCAGTTGCAGCTTGGGCTCAGCAGCGACAATCTACAAGTGTCTGCATAGCTCTTCTTCGTTTCATCGAACATCGCTCCGAATAGTAGTACTTGGGGGTGAAGATGAAGTCTTCTTCGCTCCTTCAGGGTGTGCAAGGCTGCGTCTCGGCGTCTTCTCGTAGCAAGGATCCATACATTCCTTAGCCTTACATGCCCCTTGCATCCCTTCCATGCACTGGTCCTCCCGAGAATTGCCTTTGCTGTCTCGATGCCTTCCTGGCAGGAAGCACTTCAAAAGCCACATGGCTGCTGAACGCATCGTGGGCAAAGCTTCACAAAGGCCACAAGACCCCAACTCATCGAGAGAATTGGGCCCAATTTACAACCATCCCTTAGCAACCGGTGAACATCCACACCAAACCAGTGAACGGATGGTTAGTGCGACAAAGTGCGGATGTCGCAACTGCACTGATACAAACGATGTTGGCAAAAGCTCATGATGACTGCTGAACAGAACGACAACAACTTAATAAGCTCTGGATCTCCAAAACAGCAGACTTGGAAACAGGCGGCTCAAGTCGAAGTGACTGAATGTATGCAAGTAGTCGGTGGGGCTGAAGACGTGACTTGCACACTAGTGGCTAGCGGTAGGAACTGCCCATGCAGGCTCATAATGGTCATAGAAGCAGGAGCGGCGGCAATTGCACACTGCACTCACCACCTTGCATTGCTCTGCCAAGGATTGGAAGAGCGCTTGGAGCCTTGCTGCCTGCGCAGTGTGATGTCCATAAAAAGTCTTGCCAGCGTCTGGTATGCATGGTGTTTGGAAGTGCAAGCATTCCAACCACTGCAGCAGCAGTGCTTACAAAGCAATGCCTCCGTGAGCCCTGAAGGCAGCTGCTGCTGGACCTGGCCAACTCAGCAGCCAATCAAGGAGATAAACATTACACAGATGTCTCTGGCATTGAATCTGGCCGAACTTCCAACACCAGCATGACTCAGCGCGACCTCTATATCTCGATGTTCAGATTCAACGGCAGCCTTGAACCACAAGCCTCGATAAAACAAGAGCTAGAATACGCTGCTGCTGAAAGGACACCTGCCGATAGGTCTCCTGGAGAAAAAGTAGCGTCTGACAGTGCCGCCGGACGTGTGCCTGGTCTCCCACTAAACACCATTTTGGGGATGCCAAATGTCGTTGCTACCGTCGCGCAGCTAGAGAGTACTTCGTTGCTTGGCTAGTCTGTTTGTAACCGAGTGGCAAACCGGCTTATCTGTAATGTGCTTCTTCTGCGGATTCTACTCTACAGGTTCAATAGCGGTAATGCTCGGGTACATTTGTGAAGATTGATACTAAGGTACAAGCGGAACATATGTCACAAATTACGCGGTGGACTGTTGATAAGTTGGCCACTTCGCTTTGCTAGTTGGCTAGCTGGGTCCCACACGCGTTTGGATAGCCGGACGGTCACTTACGAAAGCACATCAATGAGCAAGTGCATGCATTCAGGAATCGGTCGTGCTGCTGGCGAGCAACAACAACCATGACCCACACACCCGAATCCACTCACCCACACCTAGACACGCATCATCTGAGGTCAATGTTGAAAGTTCCAGAATCATCCTTGACCGTCGTCACTATTGTGCAACCACCAGTATCATCACCACCACCATCATCTTGATCGCGATTATCCGTGTCGTTGTCATTCCATCGCTGACCATCTTGTCCCACCGACATATCTGCCGCCGGCATTCTTGTCACCACCATCTTCACAATCATTATCACCATTCTGATGGTCATGGTCATCATCATCACCATCATCACCATGACCATCACCACCACCATCATCATCATCACCATGACCATCACCATCATCATCATCAACATCGTCGTCAATACGATGATGATGATCATCATCACTCCCCTTGTGATCAGCAGCATCACAAGCATCATTGTCACTAGCTTCTGCAACATCGTCGTCATCCTCAGTATCATCACCACCACTACCTCACGGCCATCATTGCGATCATCATCCTCCCCGCCGCAAATGCCATCACTGCTTCTACTCCCACGGCCACTAATCCCCAACGCTGCTATGACTGCTGAGTGGACTGGTGCAAGACAAAGCGGACGACGGAAGAAATTGATAGAAGTACTCATGATAGCCAGAAGAGGATGATATCCAATAGCAAGGCATGGTACCAGCACCCTCGATCCCACCAGAGTCCTAAACCGAACCTGCGCGTGCTTTATCTGCTTGAGCTTCTGGCCAGGCTGTCAACTCCTTCCGCCCAGGCAGCTGGCGTAACCTCGAATTTCCAAAGAGCCGCCAGTATCAGGACCAACTGTCATCTGGATCTGGAATCGAAATCCAGGCACACGTGTAAGTGTGAGTAGTCGTCGTCCCCGCCTTCATGCTTGCTTTTAGTCTCTCAAGCTCTTCCGCCGCCGCCAGCTTCAAGGTAACCACCGACCTCAAGCTTGGACATGGGTTTCGGCTGAGAGACTGCGCTGTCGGATTCGGGGTCTAGGGATCAACCTGTTGAAGTGGTGGAAGTTAGCCTGCGATGGGGGTTGTGTACAGTTTCAGGAAGGGCAAACATGATCCATGACGTGTGCGAGCAAGCTGTACAACACGGCTCAGGCTCGACTTGAAGCCCTGCCTGTGAACGTATCCATTGCCTGCTTCCTCTAAGACCCTTCACCGTGAAATGTTAGTTTCAAGTCTCACACGTGCCTGAAACCCCAGCTCTAAGCCCCAACGTATGCCAGAGTCCGAGCCCGAAAATCCGAATTTCCTAGGGGCACTGGAAGAGCGGGTCTGTAGGCCGCCCTGCGGTGCGGTGGCTGTGGTGATCGCCCGGCCTCCAGCACTCGCGTCACAGTCATCAACCGCGATGAAAGTAGTAGTTGTTGCAGTCGCAATCAAGACTTTCCAGTGTGTCGTCGTTCTTGCCGGAGTCGTTGTCGCACAAAGGCATCGTCTGTCGTTGGGACCCCATTCGCCGTACTACATGCAACATACATCCATATGCCATTCCTGCATGAAAATAACATGCTACCTACAACTATGTGCCTGCTGTAGGACCTGCAGCAGGACCTCGCGGTGGTCGCATTGAAATTGTCTTTTCGCACAAAGGCCGTTGCCACTGAGTTGTAAATCAGATGCCTAGACACCTGAAGCCACCTCAACTCCCACCGACTGCAAGGACACAATTGGATGGCCTACATGATGCAAGGGATTTTCGGGTTTACAAACAATTCGTACAATCCACTGAGGCCAGCGCTTCGCACTCTTCCAAACTGTAGCTGACCGAGCCTCTGTCTGCCAGGAGTTTGCAGAGCCTGTGCCTCTTCGGCTAAGGCTCTCCGACTCTGCTTCCAACGTGACAGGTCTTGAAAATTCCACGTAAAAGCGTTGCGAGGCAACGAAAAAAACAAAAACACGGTCTTCGGAGTTCCCGCAAAAAACCTCAGCTAGAACCGGTCTCAAGCTCAGGAAAGACAGCCACTCTTTTGCCTCTCTTTTTGTCTGAGTATCGGGCCGTCTTCCTCGCTGCTCCAGTATTAGGAGCGCAGGGAAAAGAAGAAGGCGCTGCCTGTGGTCTGAGGCAGATAGCTTCTTGCACCTTCCACATCGAAGGCCGGTGACACTTTAAGATCCTACCAGCGAGGTGCACCATTCCGCGGCATCCCAGAAACCCAAACTATCCCGTGGCAGTTTGGCAACAAGGTCGAAAGGCCTTCCACCGGAATCGTTGCCACAGCCTGCCTGGACGTTGACTGACGCTTGGGGGGAGGGGGTGGTGCGTTCCACTCGGAGAGTCTTTTTGGGCGGATTTCCTGGGTCGGATCTCTCAGTGATGTGCCATACGTGCCAAGCAAGGAGTCTCTCTAATCCTCAGGTGTATAAATCACAGAGAATACAGAGACCGGAGCTCTGGAGTCTGACGGAGTCCGGCACTCAGAGGGCCCAAAGGTCCCGAGTCAGCGGCTGAGGATACGGAGCTTGGCGACGGAAGGCTGCTCCTCGAACAGAGGCTCAAAAGTGCGGGTCCTATTTCGGGTGGTCCTGCTTGAAAGGATCAGAGTAATTAGGGTCTAAATATGTCACAACGTCTACACACTCAAGTTTCCTTACTTTCCGAACCCCCCCCTCAAGCTCGTACAGTAGCACAAGTGTCGCAAGCTGCACGAGCCGTGCACGCCTCCCAAGCCGCACTGGCCATGTTCCTTGAGCTTTGCAAGCGTCTGTTTTCTGGAACATTGGCTGCTGCTCTGGAGGCTCCCCAGAATCCAGAGCGCCCAATACCCATTAGATAAGGAATATACCTTAAATTATATGGGCCTTGATATTGTGATTTAAAGTATATTCCTTATTTAAGGGGTATTGGGCTCTCTGGGAATCCCAGCAAAAGCCGGGGAGCAGGCGATGACTCAGTGGCACAGCCACTTGAAGCATGGATGACACCCAGCGGGCCAAGCCGTGCTCTGCTTGCGCTTCTTGTTGCTGCTTCGTGCTCCAGGTCGGGAGAGGTGGGAACAAGCTACGAGAGCACTAGAAATGACAGTTTCGGGAAGCTGTTTACTGCGTGCTTTTGAAGATGCACCCTGCAGGCTGATCCAGAAGTGGCACAGAGCAAGTATAAGTAAGCTTGTATAGCGTTCGCCTTTGATGCCCCAAAGCCGCAGAGCTTGCTGCCGGGGGTTGACACTGCTTTTCCTGTTTGCCCATGCTTGTGTAAGTCGTGACCTTAAGGGCACGGATTTGGAAGTGTTCGCTGGAGTGCTTCGGCGTACTGTTGTTCGCTGTAACATAGCATGACACACGCTCTAGCGTGAAACACGTTGCTTTTGTATCCGTTCATTCGGCAGACAGGCGTGCGCAAATGCTGCAGCAGTTTCTCTCTGGTCTGCCAGAAGGTATAAGACTGCCACTACTCCACACTCGCGGAGAGAGCTCTACCCCTTTCGCCGCTTACCGTGCGCAGCCGCCCGACTCGAAGAGGGCGTCCGCAGACATGTAGAGACGTCCGGGTCGATAATCTGCGTAGCCCTCCGGTCGATTATTGGAGCAGGCGAAGGGGTTAGAGTCTGCAGGCGGGTTGGGCTGATCGGCAACTGTCTTGAACTGGCCATATAGCTTGATGGACACATCGCGGTTGTAATGTTCGAAGTGGGTTCTGCCCGGCCCTTTCAGTTTATGCCGGCAGAAGGTTGGCCAATAAATCTGTTCTTCCTTGAACTCGATATATGGCCCATGATCGCCATAGACAATTGCCTCATAACCACGTGCGATTGGCTCGCCCTTAGAGTCATAGAACTCAAGGGAAGAGTTGCCCGTTTCGTAGAGACCCCAGTTCGATTCCACTCGCTGCTTGTCCCGGCGTCTGTTTGCGGAATCTGCTGTCGAAGCAGCCCTCGGCTTGTAGTCGGCTGGACTGCTGCACGCAAAACCAAGCTTCGCCCAGGACCACAGCAGGACATCATCAAACTCCGACTTGGATGCATGAAACTCGATGTCGAAGAAAGTCCCCTTTGTTGTCAGTGCCCTCTCGAGGCTTTCGACCAGATCAGGCGCAAGCACGTGCAGCGGGAGTGCACCGTTGCGAGACCTGCGGATGTCTCTCACTAGTGATGCTGGCTTTGAGCTGCAAGACACCATCCGCGAAGGAACGGCCTTCACCCATCTGTCATCTGCCGAAATGTTTGCAGCCACTGCCACCGCGGGCAGTGTGGAGAGGCTTCGGAGAGCCCTTTGCCATGAGCCGGCTAAGCGGGTCATGTTAGCGATGGCGTCGCCAACGAGACTTCAAAGTAAGTGCTGGTTCTCCCGGTGTCTCAGCTTGTTTTGGTTTGGCTGTTTATCATGACGGTGGGATCTTGGGCCACCTTCTGATTTGCATCAGCTCTGAAAGCCAACACTGGCTTGAACCAGACACAATCTGACAGAGCCTCAAGGCTGCATAGGCTGCATGCCCTGGAGCTTTCCAAACTTTTTCCTGCGGCTTTTAGCTTTGCCTCAGTGACTTGCCTTATGCAAGGAGTTGCTGTGAACGCAAGTACCGTGGCTCGCTTGCGGAATGCAAGCTGGCCGTTGCCCACATCTTGAGCCTATGCGCTTAAATATGTCGACCATGGATTTCCCATGATCCGGAAAACCAGAAGTGCACATCAATCCGATGGGTCAGCAAAAGACTTGTCCCGCGGAGGGGGCATGGAGAAGTCACGTCTTCAAAGTCCTGAGAGTCTAGGCTCACAGCTGCAGCAGGAACAAAAACTTGCAGGGTGAAAGCTCTGAAAGTCATGTGATGAGTGATAGGGCGGATTGCGCTCTTCCAATACGAATTTCAGTTGGGCAGCTTGCACCCGTGCCGAGGACCATATTGTGTTTCGAAGCGCGCCAGCGCCCAAAGAGGGAACACATTCCGGAATGCAGTGTACCTGAACGCGAGGCATTGCACGAAGAACTGTCCTGACAGCCTAAAATGATGAAGAAGTAAGAACAGGCCAAGAGCGTGATGCCAATGGATCTGTTGAACCTTGTGGGAACAGTTGATGAAGCTCCCGTCTCCGAGGCAGCGGCTGCACTCCGCATCAACTGAGGCACGGGCACTCCAGCGATGTTCTCTTGAGCCCAGTCGCCCGAAGCCAGCTGGCGCTTGAGGAGCAAGGCCACTCCACGCTGAATGGCCTTGGACTCCTGCGCAGTCGGCGTCTTGGAAGCATCAATATCTCCTTCATATCCCTATGTTATACTGTACTGTATGCCCAACCACTATTCACTATTCCAATTAGAGATGGACCCAAGCCCCTGACCTCTCATGACACGCGCAGCAAATTCTTAAGAGGGATGCGCCAAACATGTACTGACCATTGATAGTCTTCAGGACCCCGCCATGTCACCGAACACCCTACCATAAACTTATCCTCATGCGGTATTCTTTGCTCGCTTTTACCGGAGGCTTGAGGTGATGCCTCCCTCCTACCGAAAGGCATTCGGACCCCACATGCCCATCCCCGTATGACTTCAATTCCGTACTGTTGCGCAAGTATCAAGACCGACCGCTTCTTGCCAGAGGGGAAGAACTTGATGCCTGGCAGTCTGCCGCCATCAGTGCAAGGAGAGCCCAGGCCGTCTGGACCACGGTGCTGCCGGAATCGCATCCTTAGCGATCGGAAGTCGCTGCAGAAACTCCCAAAACACCACTACCCCTGCCTGGACCTTATCCCGCATCACAACACCATTCAAACAGCCCTAACCTCAGGTGGCCGGACACCCCAGAAGCGTTGCAGCCCGGAGCTCCATAGAGCTTCTCGCGGGGAGCGTACTCTCGGTTGAAGCAGCTGGCAAAGTCTTCGCCCCAGCCACCGTCCGGGTTCTGCTTCCCTGAGTAAACGGATAAGCTGTCTCTACATTTCAGAACTCTCAAGAGACTCAAGGTATTCGGTGGGCCTAAAAGGAACTTCACGCACTTCTGGATCGCTTTGCAGGTCGGCTTGCGCCCGGCGATCAGCAGGCCTTTCCAGACTGACACGTCAGAAAAGTCCCGATGTCGGCTACAGGCTACAGCATTGGCTGCGGACTGCAGCCAACTCATAGCCAGAGATGTGGGAAGCACCGAAAGGCCGATGAATTGATTGTCGGTCTTCTGCATCAGGCATTCTCTATGCTTTCACATGCAAGTACAGACGCGCGTATAGCTACATACGCCCATGCATACTTACGCGGTACATACGTACGTGGCACGCACACGCAGTCAGACAGGCATCTGCCATGCTATAGCGAGAATATCTTGCTTCCAACCGCACACGAACTCACGCTCTTTGTCGCGCATGATGTCCAGCAATTCTGGCCGGTCGAACTCTTGCACTGCAAACCCTTTGCGCTGAAACCCTTGCTCTGAGGATGAGGCAGTGTACAACACACATAACTCATCATGTCAATCATGTTACACAAACGTTGCAGGCAGATGCGCACATCCGGACGTCTCCCGATGCATCATCAGAGACTGTGGAGGTGTGCACTGGCAGCTGTCAATGATCCAGAAGCGGGACACCAAGCACAGCCCCACATACGCCTACACATTGGAAATCAAGCCGAATCAAGCCTCCAACGTCAACCTCTAACATGTTTCTGAGCTGAATCGTGCAGCGGTTTTGCTGAATGCACCAGTTCAACTGCAAGGGACTGCAAGAGTTGACATGCTTGTGCGATTCAACCTTTGACTTGACTGCCTAAGCTATATCAACATAACTTGAGGCAAGTCTTCGCCTCCTGAAGGACCACCTCACTGCTCAGGAAGACCAGATCATGAGGAGTCCCAGCTCAAGTGCCGCACATGCTGCACCTGGCCTTCGATGCCAAACCAACAGCCGTATGTGAAGCAGTTGCCCCAGCATCCAAACCAGCTGCCATCGTCACGTTGCCTTGCGTCACAGCAGGCAGCAGGCAGCTTTAGTAAAGCCTGCCCACCCGAACTCCCGACTCAACCGAAAGCACCCTCCCGCACTGCAAGCTGACCCCAACCTGCAAAATTCTGTTGGGATCTGCATTCTGCCCAGTTGCATTTCCTCAATGAAACGAGCACCACGCGCGATGGAACGCCGGATCTCACCCGCCCGGTGATCCGGAAACTGCTCGGAGAAGTATGCAAGTGCCTGATGAAGGCTGGGGGAGCTGAAGTGAGATCATCGGAGTACTGTCCAAGCGACGGCTTGCGCCAAACTCTCTCCCTAGGCCCCTTGTCAGCCTGCATGGCGGAAGAACTGCACTCCACATAGGAGTAGTCAATCATGATGTCCCCAAACACCTGCATTGAGAGGCAAGCAGTCCAATCTGGGTCAGGCATTACAGTGGCGTCTGGGATCCAAAGTTACGGTCTCAGCATGGCAAGCGATCTCTTCCCTGCTCTGGAGCAAACAACGAAGCTCAAAAGTGCACAAATATAAGCCCAGCAGGAACAAAAGGGCAAGATGTTGCCAGAGGCGTGAATGCCGGGCGCGTGTTTCTTGACAGATGCAACCTGTTTTGCTATGACAGACTCTGGTAAAAAAAACAAACACACACACACACACGAAACCCTTTCTGCTGAAGGCATGCTTAAGAAGAACACGATAAATCGAACCCCTTGCAGAACCCTTCTCTAAGGCCCTAGCCCACACGTAGATCGCCGGGGTCGATCTACTATGAAACCCGTCTCTAGCACTTTTGTAGAACCACCTCTGAATCCCATAGAGAAAGTCACGTTATGAAGCTCGGGAGACGAGCCTCTGAGGGATTGAGAAGTTCGTACCACTTCCAGCCCCGATTGTTCTCGTAGGTCGCCCAGCCACCGTCGTTGTTCCTTGGCCAGGGTTGGGGGTTCAGACGTTGGGACTTGGCTCCAAACCCCTACTACACCCTAAAGCCCAGTCGAAACCTCTACATCCTAAATCCTTCAGCTGTAGCAGTGTTTGGGGTCGAAGCTTTTATGGCTGATCTTCAAACGCAGTTCGGGCAGCCAAGAGCCGTGTCTGTAGAGTTCATGCTTCAAGGACGAGAGCCCTACACGCTTCTGTAAATACATTTAGAACAACCCTACTGAGGAGTAATTTTTTAAAGCCCGGACCCCCTAAACCTGAATGTGCGAGGCTCTGGTAGGAGAGCAGAAACCGAACGCTGTCGCACAGATGCTCGTCAGGCATGGCCCGGCCTCGTTGGAAGCCCGGCCGAAGGTTTAGGGTCTAGCAGCTTAGCAGTTTAGCGTTCATGGAAGTTCAGGGTTCTCCCCACTTTGTCGATAATGGCATTTTTTGAAGACCTTTTTGGCCCGTACTTTCACAAGCCAATCCAGGTGTTCAGCCCCAGTCGGTCCATTCTGCTCCCTTCGAAGTGTTTGCTTGGCAAGGTTTATGTGAACCTCCAAATTCAAGTTCTCAACGCCGGAAACTCTTAATGTGCAGCAGGGCACCAGCAGATCTGATGCTTGGAACTTTTCGCAGGAGCAAGACAGCTTTGAAGGCCTCCGCGGTGGTGTCCTTACAAGAGCATGGCATCATTTAGGCGGATCTCACAATCTACACTTCCTTCTGCAGACCCCGGAGAACACAATGATGCATTCAGTGCAGAACATCGCACAGCGCTCCCAAGCGAGGCAACAATGCTGACAGCTACATGTAGCCACTTCAGACTTCCCGAGACCTTCGAGCCCTCCGCCCCGCAACTAGTCCGGCCTCAGTATCAGCTACTAAAATGGGGGTTTCCGAAAATAGGGGGACCCTAATATAGTACCCTGAATAGTAGGATCCTTATTATAAGGACCCCAAAATAAGGTACCCCCCAATTTTCGGAAAGTCCCAAGAATATACGAGAATTCGGTAAGTAAGTCTGGTCTTAGCCGCGACTCGCATCTGAGCTTCCCTCGGCCTCTCTGGCCCTAACTATTATTATGATCATTATTGTGACTATTATGATTATTATGATTAAAACTATGATTATGACTATGATGATTGTTATGATCATTATTGTGATTATTAAATTATGATTATTATGATTGAAATAATGATTATGATTATGATTATGATTATAAAACGAAAGCGTGGAAGCCAAGTCGCAGAGACCGGCCAGGCCTGTTCAGCGGTGCCTTGCACTGAGGATGGTTTCATGATGAACGGCCCATTTGGGAGTTTCCGAAAACAAGGGGTACCTTATTTTGAGGTCCTTATCATCGGGATCCTACTATTTAGGGTACTATATTAGGGTCCCCCTATTTTCGGAAACCCCCTTTTCCTCCAGGTCTCGGGCTTTGGGCACTCACTTCCAGACCGTTCCACAAACCAGCACTCGGACAAAGACGTGGTCTCTTATACACACCCTCTCGAGATTTTGGTCGTGCAGCAGTTGACGACTTGGGATTCAGGCTGCGTAAGCATGACTGTGGAATGTAAGAGGGGACATGCACATCAGAATCGGAGGGTCTTTTGCTTGGTCTTTGGCTGGTGGCTCGTGTTCTGCAAGCTGCACAAAGAGCACGACCCCGGCACAGAGGCCACCAAAGCTTTCGCAATACATATTGCATCCGTCCCATCAGCACGAAATCCTCAAGTCTGAGCTGTTCCAAATCCACCGCCACAGAAGCCACCCCTTGAATAGTCCCACACATCAGACAACAACAAAGATTGGCAGTTTCAGAAGATGCGGGGCCGTAATCTAAAAGCCTTCTGTTGGAGGATTTCCGGAGAACCAGCACTTGAGGCGCGGACTAAAGCCCCAGCCGCCCTGAATCGGCTGCCGAAAGTGACGCCAGTCCCCGTGAGGCAGGCTCCTCACCTGTTGGGTCTGATAGGTTTGTGCAATGCCCAAGAGTTGTTGCACGCGGCAGAATGTCAATCTGACGACTTGATCCGACAACTTTCAGCCGCAGTGCTGCTTTGCCTGCTTTGCTAAGTCTCCCACCTGCTCCTTGACGAGCCAGCCCCAGGCCTAAGAAGCTGCGTTAGAGGGCTGGAGCTTTCCTCCAAAATTGGTTCGACGGCATTTGCATCACTGTCAGGCATATTGCGAGGGAACGCGGATGACCATGATGATGCTGGTCGTGACTGTTATGTTGCGCCGTCGTGGGAGCAGGCGTTGGAGGAGGGAAAATCGCAGGGCCGTGCTCCAGCAGAAGCTGCTGTTGCTGTTTGCTGTTGGCATCTGTTGGCTGTTAGCCGTTAGCCTTGGCGCCGTGCTTGTGGATATTTGTTGTTGTTGCTATTGCTGCTGCTGCTGCCGCCGCCGGCAGCGGGCTGCGGCGTTGGTGTTGTTGTTGTGGTTGTGGTTGTTGTTGTTGTTGCTGCTGCTGCTGCTGGTGTTGTTGTTGTTGTTGGTGCTGCTGCTGCTGCTGCTGCTGCTGCTGCTGCCCGTGCGGTCTTCCGCGTTTTTGTTGTTGCTGCTGCCTCTAGCGTGCTTGAATTCTCAGGTACACTGACCAGCTGAATAGTCACTTTGGAAACGTCCATGAGTGGGAAGGTCAAAAAGCTCCAGATCCTTTCCAGCCTGGGCCTCGCGCTCTCGTGCTCATGTCCTTCAGGGCGGCTGGCGTTGTGGCTACGGGTCCGGGGGTCCTCGCCCCCAAAACACCCAACCGCCAACAAGGCTACTCAAGAGCACTTCTAAAAGCCTTGAGCAACTTGCGGGAGGGCTCCTGGTAGGATTCCACCATGCCAGCCTCAACGACGGCCTGCACCGCGAAGGCGGTGTCCCAAGCCATCGAGCCGTTGTAGCCCTGCACCTTCATGCCGTCCTGCTTACTTCGGCGTTCTCGTTTTACAAAGTTTCCGGCCTTGCTGTCGGGTCTCTTAGCTGAGCTGGGCCACTGCAGGATGGAGCCGACAGGATCTAGGAAAGCTTCGGCTTGCTGAGTCGTCCTCGGCGACCCACATGTACGCCGGGACCCTGGCCAGATGGGCTTGGAAAGGGCGACTTTCCTGGGCTCATACATGCAGGTGCCTTGATCATGACATCAGGAATCGTGGCAACAAGGAGACACAAACGGCAACTGAACGTACACACACGCCGACTATGGGCTTGACGACGACCGCAGCAACTGCGGCTTGAAATTGAGAAGGCCACCAATCGCAGCAGCAGTAGCAGCAGCCGCCAACCACAGACGCAGCAGCAACAGCAAGAACACCATGCAGAATAGCTCATGCCACGACGACCATCACCGCCGCCGCGCCGCCAGGAGCTCCACTGTGACGACAAGGACGGCAGCACTCGCAACAACCACCACTACTACAGCCACCACTACTATCCGACTACCCAAACAACCATGACCAATGGCGAATAGTCAACAAAAGTTGCCATGAGAGTGATACCACAAAACTAGCTTAACTGGAAAGACAAGAAGACTTACAACAAGGAAACCCTGGCGGCAGTAGCAGCAGCCTCCTTCCACCGCAGCCTACTGCCGCTACAATCACCTCGATAAAGAAGGAGAGGAGCAACACAACCACTTGAAACTTGAAAAACAGCCGCCTTGTCTGGACGTAAACACTGGTCGTCATCGGCATCGCTACCTCCATCGTCACCAGAATTCCACCGCTTTACCACCCTTCCACTCCACCACAATCACCAGCGCCATTATCATCACCACCAGCATCAGTCGTCGTCATCGAAGACGAAACACGCAGGATGCTAGACGAGCCAAGCTACGCTGGCTTCTTTGGGCTTCGTCTCGCCCCCAGCGGCGACCCAGGAAACGAGGATGTGGAAGGCCTCCCGGTTGAAAAGGGAGGAGGTGCTGGGCTTTGGCACTCCAAAGGGCCAACGCGAGCTCACATACAAACCAAGGACTCATGCCGGCTGACGGGGGGGTGTACCAGAATAACACTCTGCGAGTTCCGTCAGTTTCATATTGTAGCTACTTCGACTCACCACGTGCAAAGCTTTTGATTGTCGCAGCAGCTTGTCTGGCACATCGCAGCATGCCCCGCCTTGCTGACCGGGCCAATGGTCAAGTAGTTCGTCTCCAGATCCTCCACTGAAGCCGTCAACCCACAAACTGACACCCTGAGCCATGAAATCCGACCTAAGCCCTCAAGAGCCACCTTTCCCTGCACGGCCGGGCAATGTCCTCGGCGTACATGTACTCCAGGGCAAAGTCGCAGCTAACTTTCCTCAGCCATTGCCAGGGCCCAAAGCGCTCGTAGACCAGCAACACGTCCTGAAAGCCCGCTGAAGCAATGCCTCACGTATCCTCACGTATACTAGGCTCTACAGTAAGGGATAGCGCCTACTGAATACAATCTTCCACGCTACTGTGCTGTACCATACCTACCACACTTTGGTGGCATAGACTGAGCTATCTTGTATGTTGTACAGCTACGACATCCATCATCGTGGTTAGGCTGATATGATACCCGGATAGCTCTCCTGCATCAGTCTCATGACCGGATGGATCGGACTGTAGTTGTCGATGTCGGCACAGCTGTGCACGTGCTTCCTTCAGGGTGGGCCCATGCCGTGGGCTGCGCCTATGACATGCTTCTTACCACGGGGGTGCAGTGCTGCCAGCATCGACTCTCATCGCAACGATCAAGGCTGCTGGTGCTCTTGACATTATCAGCTTCTCGGTGCTTACGACGAGTTCCAGCCCAGCTCCAGCAGCACGGAACGGCGAGCGGCTTACGCTTAAGCCCCTAAGCCCTCAAGCCCTAAACCCTAGCTCTGGGCCTCCACGGGATCTCGCTGTACTTCTGCCCCCCATAGAGTTCAGACCTTAAGGCCGCGGCCACAGGATCCTGCGCAGCATTGAAGGTGAAGCGCCGCGCGTAGAGCCAGCACATGGGGAGGTAGACCATCCTAGGAGCTTAGGCTTCTACGCCTTTGGGGGGGGGGGGAGGTTGGCGTTTTGTCGATGGATCCTACCGTTTAGGGTCGATGTTGAGTAAGGGTCCCTTATGTTCCCAGGGAGCTCGGGCCCTTGGGCTTTGTTGTGAGTCTCTAGGCAGCGTCAGAGGGCCGAGCATCCGACAGTGGCACCAGAACCTTCCAGGATGAAGGGGGAACCAGCTCGGCAGCATCCACATCTCTGGCGGGACTGGAGCAATGCCATCCCAGTCATAGACCCCAAGGCATGCCAGCCAGAACTTGGCCCACGATGGTGCATAGAGGGCACCCCCATGTTGCTGCATGAACTCGCGGCCCTTCTTGCATGCAGGATCATCGGCATCCACTCCCGCCAAGCGCAATGCAACATAGTTCAGCACAGTTCCAAACATGGTGCTCGGAGATTCGATGTGGGAACCCCAGCCGCCATCCTGCTGCTGATGGTTCAGAAGGTATGCCTGAATGGCTTGGCAATGTGAGTCTGAGTACATCGTCTTCAAATGACCGGTGATGTACGCTGCAATGACGAAGCCAGGCAGAAGAAAGTGTGGTCCACCATAGTCGCCTGCCCAATGGCCATCATCGCACTGAAGCATTCTGTAAAACTCGAAGCCCTTGTGGAGTGCGGCATTCACATCGGCTGGCTGTGCGGTGTCTGGCTTCGGGCCGGTCCATGCATTCAGCTTGGCGCGTCGGAAGATGCAATCTGCGCTGTTCGGGTTAGCTTCAGGACGAAAAGGCTCCATGTCAGTTTCTGTGGAGCCCACGAACTCCCAAACTTGCTGGCCGGAGACTTCGTGAGGCAACAGTTCGTTCTTCGGTTGTGCTTCCTCCTTGGGTCTCCAGCCTCCCTCGACGATTCTGCTCGCGACGGGCTTCAACTTCGCATCAGCCCGAAGCCTGCTACTTTCCGGAACTGCATCGCCAGGGTAGGAAGCAGGCCGGCCACGCCGCAGGAACCACACCGATGCAAGAACAGCCCCGGCCACGGCAGCTGTTTCAACTGCCCCAGGAAATTTGTCCATGGGCAGCCCCTCCAGTGCTAGGAGTTAGGTGTGATCGAGAAGCTACAGCGATGTCACGCAAGCTGCTTATGCGGCATTCCTGGACTTTCTGACAGGAGACGACTAGCAGATGTCTAGTCTCTGGGAGCTGGGTCGATGTTGTGGATGAAGCATTGGCTAGATATAGGTCCGAACCTCAACAGCTTCGCACAGCATTCTCAGCTTCAACCCGCTGTGCCGCCACAAGTAACGAAAAAGTGCGGAAGCCCCATGCTGAACTTGCACTGGCACAATATCTGCTAAACGAGTCAGATCGCTTGCCAGGAATACTCCTTCGGCGTCCGGGATTCTCGATTCACTGCCAACCGCCCAACCTAGTCCTGCCACACCTATCCTAACCAACCTCGCTCCATGCCATTCCTCACAAGCAAGGTTAGTCTTGGTCGTTTCTTCAAGGCGGGCGGTGCCGAGGTTTGCTGAAGTCTTTGTCAGCGGTCACGGCCAGTCTGTACCTGGCTGCGAAAAAAGCATCTTTAAGGCGCAGGCATCCTATCTGGAAGGGTCCCTAGGGGACCGACTGGCAGAAACCAGTCCCCTCTAATGACAATGTGTGGGGGGGGGGGGCCTGCAACGCAGTCTTCACCGCGAGCTTGTCGATGCGAAAGTCCTCCAACGCGATGGGGAGCCCTTATTGTTTGCATCAAGCCTGGCTTCCTCTAGAATTGACTATCATAGCCAGCGGCTCCTCGGCATACTCCTCAAGAGAATCGGAAGACACTGATGAACATTCTGTTTCCTGGAACAGGCGGCAGCAGCATGCAAGCCGGGCTCGCTAGCGCACAGCAATAACTACTGCGGTAATGGCAAGGGCGCCAGGGGGGGCGGGGGTCAGAAACTAAGGGACTCGTGCGTAAATAAATAGAAACAAGTAAAAATACTCTCTCTCTCTCTCTCTCTCTATATATATGTATACATACATATATATATATATCTATACACACAGAACAATCAGCACATATCAGCACAATCCTGCAACGAGTTCCTCAAGGTACTTAGAGCAAAGCACCCCCTAAAGCATGACCCTAACCTGCTTTGGCCCTAGATCCCCACAGAGGCAGAAACGGAATCCCCTTAGCTTGAACATTGCAGGCGAGGCTCCCCGAAGTTGCTGAAGTTCTCTCTGGCAGCGACATTGTACCTCCACCGCGACTTCTGAGTGAGCAAGCCCTCACGTACACAGTTTCCTTGGGGTCTGTGATGGTCTGTGGCTGTGGGCTTATAGGGATTATCTATAGTTGCTTAGCATTCCGCCAGGAGTGTCGCTAAATCATGCAGTAGTGCCCTAAACCCTAAACACGAAAACCCTCAAGAGTGCTCTACGCGCAAGGACATAGCTGTTTCTGCCCAAGTGGCTCGTGGTTGGCGTCAAGAGTCGGGTCCTCTGAAATGAACCTGGCAGGCTTGGTGTTGAGCTCAAATTCCGAACGCCGGATAGGGTGCAAAGCTTGTGCTTTAGTGTGCTATACGTGGAAAGCACGATGTTTCCAGCGAGCTGCTCCATGCCGATGATGGCAAAGATGTAGATTAAGATCCTTGGCAGTTCTGCTTTTGCAGATGCCGGGACTTCCTTGCTCAAAAATAAAGCCCAACCGATCTACTGATGAACGAAGTCTTGCATTCATGTAGTACTTAGCACCGTATTAAACTTAAGTATGGGAAGTACTGGCTCATGTCCGCAGGCGGCAGCTTCAGGAAGAATCTACCGTAATAGAAAAGCGCCCTAAACCCTAAACTGTGTACAAAGGCTTCCTACCCGCTCCCGAACCTAGAGGAACCGGGGGGCCCGGGACCTCGTAAGAAGGGCTGTCAGTAAGTCAATCTGCATGTTTGCTCTGTTCGGCTTGCAAAATACCCTAAACTACCCTAAATCATGAAACTACGGTTCTTGGGTTTCAACACTGTATCGGGGGACCGCAAAACAGAATAAGATTTCCCATTCTCGCGAATGTCAACCCTGAGCCCTACCCTTACGCCTTCAAGCCGACTGACAAAGGGACGTTCATCATTAGAACAGGATTTGGGTCCACACACTACACACAGATATATATATATATATTACAAATTACATATACAAATATAACACACATGATAATAATTATGTACATATAACACACATGATGTGATTATGAGGTGGGCTACAAGGGGACACGATGATCAACAATCTCGACCTGTGTAGGTAGCTTGAGGAGCTGAAGGGCCCTCTGAGCAGTTGACGATGTGCTGCCAACTTCATTGAGCTTGGGATCTCGGGCTCTGAGTTGCCATGATGCCTTGAGGCTGAGGGCCTCGGGTTTAGGGTTTGGGGCAGATTCGGGTTTCTATACGTTCGCCGAAGGCATCTCTTTTCATCTGATCGGGAGGCTCCATGGGTTTGAAAGACATATGCCTGTCCTTAGAACTACAGGGCCTTAAAGGTTTGTACTCCTCCCGAGATGAGCGATGAGCAACAGGGATCTAAACCCTCGAAGCAGCCGAGCTTCATGACCAATAGGAAGGTCCAAAAAAGCGTTGTCACCTGATGTCCACGGCCACAAAGCGCTTTCAGACAAGAACTCCGGACAGCGAAACACGAAGTCTTGAGGCCATTGATTGAAGCATTCTGGTTGAGTTCATCCGGACACACCCAAGAGTTCAAAGGACTCGTCGTTTCGGGCTTGCCAGTGGGCTGTTCTGAGCCTGAAAGGGGGGTTGAGGCCTTTCCACCCAGGAAACCGCAGCTTGTTCTGAGTACCCGCTTCCCCAGTTTCCGATTCCTAGCCCCAAAACCCCATCGCCCAATCGCACACTGCCTGATTTGACGTCCTCTAGTGTAATGCTTCAGATGCAATGGAGAACGCCGGCCGGATGCCGCAACGGCCATATAGCAGCCAGGTGACACTGTGGAGAAGCCCTTGCACCAACTGCCAGAGCGTCTGAAAGAGGACAATCAGGCCTTGGCCCAGAAGCTTGCAAATACGAGTTTACGTTGCTGGGTTGTAGCTTTCGACCCTGAAAAGTATTTATGAATAGGTACCTTCATAGGAACCATAAGGGAAATTTTAAAGTTTCCCAAAGTGCCACCTAGATTATAGTAGGCAGGGACCTAAATAGAAACAAAACAGTAAACACCATTCCTTTGGGCTCATTGCTGCATTAAACTATCCGGTGTTATACACCCAAAATCTTACTTGAACTATGCAGGCCCCTATACTAGTTCGTATAGAGTATAGAGTTTAGGAAATCGGCAAAAATCAAAAAAATGACCCAAACCCCCTGAAACCCCCAAACCCCCTGAAGCCTCCCCCAAGGCCCGGGACTTCTACAAAAAAAAAAGGCGGGGCTGCTACGCATCGGGCTAAACATTAACCTTCGGGCCTGGGACTCGGGGCCATTTCAATACCCAACGCCCCTGATCCCTTTTTGCCCTTTTTGCATCAAAACTTGTGCAGAACCCCAAAAATTAAACCCTAACCTGTTAATATTTTCAGGGAACAGATCCTGAAAAAGCCCTAAACCCTAAACCCTCACCTGCTAATACTTGAAGAGATCCTGAAAGCCTTCCCGCCCAGCTGCGAACTGCACGCGCTAGGCGGAGCAAGCGCAGTATCCGCACGAGCATGACCTGCCCGGAAAGCCGCATTCAGCACTTTCGCATGCAAATTTGAAGAAGGGTTTAGGATGGTGGCCTATAGGGGCTCAGAATTAACAGGGATTTCGGGGTTTAGGGTCTAGGAGGGTTTAGGGTGGGGACCAGCACGCCAAATGCCCATCTGCCTGGTTGAGGAGCTCGTTTTGCACCTGACGCGGGAAGCAGGGCTTGCTTTACTGATACACTCCGACCGTTGGCTCCCGCTGTTGAAACCTTAAACCCCTAAACCCCTAAACATGGCTTTCACTACTTGTAGACAAGGCATCCTGGCAGCTGAATGTTCGGCATTTGTCGGAGATTTTTTGCAACTTAAAGCGTTTGCGACCGAACAACAGGGCTACGGGGCTACTCCTCGGGACATAACCACTCCCCACATGCAGAACCATCGTTCACGATCTTCCAGCCCTTTGTTATGAACACCCTTTGCTTCGACGCTCTCTGACCCTGGTACGTGGGCTGCCGATAAAATTTTGAGGAATCTTTTGACAGAAGCTACCGAGTCATTGCACATGTTCATATTGCGCTCCGCTCTGGATTCCCCCAAACAGGCTCTTATTGGTGCTTGGGAATAACACAAGCCCTGTTTGAGTGCCAAGGTGCGTTCACCAGGTTGAGTGTGAGGTCCACCGCACTGCTGCAAATCCTCGGAGGCCGTCACTTACGTTTTGGCTTGAGGGCTCAAGGCTTGCCGTGCAGGTATCCAGAAACCACAGATCCCTCAAGAAGGCTGCGAGGGACAAGTTTAATTTAAGGACTGGACATTTGCAAGGAGAAGTTGCTGCATACTGGTACGATACATACAGCAAATATGGTTTTCCAACATGCATCTCTTCAATGTTGTCAACCTTCTTCCCAGGCATGCTATTGGAAAGAGGCTTCTGCTGCCTAGGATCAAAAAGAGGTCGAACTTCACCCAGTTGCTGCGTAGCACAGCTCTCCCATAAGCGTAGTATCTCATGGCGAACCTTGGCGCTGCGCAGGGTAAACTCAGCATTCAATTGCGCCAAAATCGTGTGCGTTAGACTTTTCTTTGCAGGCTGCTCTATCGAAGAATACCTCAGACTAGAAGCCAAACAACACCGAAGATCTGAACGGGAAAGGTGAAGTCAGAACAACTGTCAAGCAGCACTAGCCACGACAAAACTAAAAGCAACGGCCATAGTCGTGGCTATCATCTTCGTTCATCAGTATCATTAGGAGTACCGGAACAATTCTCCTAAATGCTGTCGAAACTGTCGTGTTGGTTCTAGCAGCATCATTATCAGCTAAGCGCCGTCTCTCTGCATCAGCCCCTCTGTGCATCCTCGCCAACTCAGCTGTGTGGAACTGGTCA